CGGCCCAGGCTGGAGTGCAGTGGTGCGACTGTCGCGCACTGCACCTTCCAACTCCTGAGCTCAAGCGGTCCTCTGCCTCAGCCTCCCAAGTAGCTGGGACTGTAGGCACATGCTCTAACACCTAGCTAGACTTTTTTTTATCCTTTTTATTTTTAGAGATGGGGTCTTGCTACGCTTCCCAGGCTGAGCTCGAACTCCTGAGTTCCAAAGGCTCTCCTGCCTCAGCTTCCCAAAGTGCTAGGATTGTAGGAGTGAGCCACTATGCCTAGCCAAAAACTCAAGTTCTGTTGGTTTGTGGCTTCTTTGCTGTGATCATCACCAAGGTGTGTTACTTGCTGCAAAGCTCCTTTAGATGATGATGTGCTTTCTTCCTCCAGCCCCACCTCAGTTTACTAAAACGTTTGATTTCCTTTGACGGGTTCTATAGCACTGGATTTTCAACCCAAGTAACTCTGACTTTGTTGTGTTTATATATGAATCTGCCTCATCTTCTCCACTGGAGGATATCACTTCTCCTCCCTAGAGTCATTGTTTTATTGTCTTGACCATGGAAGTCACATGAGAGATGATGGTGGCTTAGATCAGGGCAGCAACAATAACACACGAGGTGGTAAGACAGAAGAGAGAGTGAAAGCTTAACACCATTTCCGATCTATTAAATGTGAGTGTCAGAAAAAGAGAAGTCTAGAATGGCTCTGAATTTTTATTTTGGCCTGAAAACTGGAAGGGTATTCTCCATGAGATGGGGAAGGCTGAGGGAAGAGCAGCCTTTCAGAGAGAGGAAAATGTTAGACACTGACATACTTTTAAACATTCAAGTGGAGACGCCAGGTAGATAATCTGGTATGGAAGGTGGGTGTCATCTGTAGCTGTGCATCCAGTGTGGTAGTCATTAGTCACACTTGGTTATTTAAGTTTAAATTGAAAGGTTTTTTAGTTTGACCACACGAGTGCATTTCAAGTGTTCAGTAGCCATATGTGGGCAACTCTGGTGGTCACATCTTGGCAGAGATGAGGGGAGATGGAATCAGTGTGTAGTAAACGACCTAGATTTAGATCCAGGACAGGGCATCCTGCGTAACAGCGGGGGATGACGAGACGGCTACGGATACAGACACAGAGACAGGTTTGACAGTGGGAGATTGTGTGAATTCCCTTCTTGCTGGTTGCATTGATAATTTTTTTCTGGTTGGCTTGAGTGAAGGTCTGGGGAAGTTTGACATCTGGTTGTTTTTGCTTAATACTGGTGACACTTTTATCATCACAGTGTTTTTCTTAAACACATTTTTTTTTTCTTAAACACATCCTGCTGTTCACAGCAACATTTAAAAATGTTTTGCAGTGAAACCACATGCCATATATGGCTTAGGCTCTAGAATCTGTCTAAAAGGTGAGAGGAGAATATATTTCAAATGCGGGTTGAAAATCTGTCAAACTACTTTTTGAATCAGCAGAACGTAAGTCCTGGAAGCTCAAAAGGCAAGAACTAATGTTCTTTTATATTTTCTTTGCGTTTTTATTGGGGATCTAGTCCCCTATGGCAGAAAATATTAGGATCTAGTTTGAATGGGAGGGATGGGGTAGTACTGGAAAGGAGAGATGAGTGTAATTTCTTTCTGTATAGCACTTACATTTAAATTTGCCTCCATTACGTGCAAGTGTGTGTGATGTTACCCCATTGTATTCTAATACCATTCTGCCTTGTGGGTCTTAGCTCACCAAAACTCTTAACACATTGCACTCATGTTGTATTGCCACACAAGTAAATATGGTACACTGCATAATTTTCTCTGGTTAAAAGTCTCTGCATTTTTGTTACATAAAAGCAAACCAAAGTGCTACATTTGAAATACCACTGGCCGGGTGTGGTGGCTTAAGCCTGCAGTCCCAGCACTTTGGGAGGCCGAGGCGGGTGATCACCTGAGGTCAGGAGTTCAAAACCAGCCTGGCCAGCATGGTGAAACCCTGTCTCTGCTAAAAATACAAAAATTACCTGGGAGTGGTGGCGCATGCCTGTAATCCTAGCTCTCAGGAGGCTGAGGCAGGAGAATCGCTTGAGTCTGGGAGGTGGAGGTTGCAGTGAGCCAAGATTGCACCACTGAACTCCAGCCTGGACAACAAAAGTGAAACTCCATCTCAAAAAAAAAAAAAAAATTTAAAGAGTAAAGTGAAACACTGATGTAACTGAATAAGAAATTGAACTATCAATCAGCATCAGGGTCATCTTCTGAACATAAAACTGCTCTCACAATTCCAGTTTGACCGTGAATAATATGGTAAAGTTTCTGTGTTTACGTAGTATCAGATTAAAACGCTAACAGAAACAGTGCAGGAAAGTATAGTATTTATCCAAAAATACTACGGAAATAGGGAAGCATAGTATTTATTCAAAATGTGTGAGATGTTGTGTTAAATTGCCAATACAGGATTCCAAGAAGAGCTGTATGACTTAGCTGCAAAAGTTAAAAAAAAAAAAAAAAAAAAAAGGAAAGATCTTCAAAACTGTAGGACTCTTAAGACTGATTTTGAGATTTTTATTGGCGATTAATAATAATTGGGCATTTGTTCATTGTAATGGTACTACCTGTTGTGTTTTATATTGATTTTGTTTTGGATGGGGGTGGGGGATCATCTGTTAACATTTTGATTGTCTCTGCAAGGCACCACAATTTGTTTTGTTGTACAACAAACACTATGGAATCTTCCGTCAGTCATATACTCCTGGAGGCATTTAAGCTAATAGCAAAACAGAAACCATTTTGTAGCATCCTAAAGAGTGATCTGGTAAAATGAAGGGCCTTGAACAGCTGCCACCCACCCGACTCTAATGAAGGTGGGATCCCACCAGATGGAGATAGAGCCAGAGGTTCCTATTTTTAACTGCCAGTCAGCTTTGCCTCTTGGGCATGAATGCCCAGTTCTGGTGGTAAAGAATTTTCCACAAGATTCTTTCATGGGAAAGAACCAGCTATTTATATTCATGCTTTGAACTTGAAAACGAAAAAAAAAAAAAAAAAAAAAAAATAGTTAAGAAAAAAGGGCATTAAGAGGGAGACAGATATGTTTCCTACATCAAAAACAAGGTGATATATCACATTGTTTAGGCACATTGCGGTTGGTGGCTTTAAGCGAATTCCCTAGTCTCTTGTGTCATCTTGCAGAAGTTCTCTTTCTCTGTTTTTTTTTTTTTTTTCCAATGAAAATATAGGCAGCTACATTATAGAGTTGTTAGAAGAATGTTGTGTGATGCATTAAGAACACCTTGTAGAGAGCTTGACACTTGGGAAGGGCTTGATACATGACTGCTCTCATTTTAGTAGTCAGACTTTATAGCAGGCGTCCCCAAACTACGGCCCGCGGGCTGCATGCGGCCCCCTGAGGCCATTTATCCCCCCTTCCCCCCACCACACTTCAGGAAGGGGCACCTCTTTCACTGGTGGTCAGTGAGAGGAGCACAGTACGTGGCGGCCCTCCAACGGTCTGAGGGACAGTGAACTGGCCCCCTGTGTAAAAAGTTTGGGGACGCCTGCTTTATAGGATCAGATTTATCCCAAGTCTTTGCCTTTTTGGAGGTTAAGTCTATTCTAATGTATATATTCCAATTCCTGATTCTAAACATGTTTCTCTTTTTTTTCTTACCTGCTCTTCCTAGCACAGAGTTAACAAATTCCCTTTGGGAAAATTTTCTATGGAAATTTCATTAGAAACCCATTTTGATTCTAAAGTTGATGATAGCAACTCTAAGTGGGGTATTCTATGGGTTTTGGAGTGCTTCCCTTGTTCCATTTTCCTCTAGCACTCAGGAGGGAGCTTGTAAATCATGACCTAGGATAGATCATGAAAACATATATACATAGATTCCGTTTTAACTATTATCTGTAGGGCACCAGTATGGGTGTTTACCGTGCTAGATTTTTAAGTTAGGGTTGAGATCCAACAATATAACCTTTCTTCCTTCATTATAATACATGTACGTACATGCGCGTGTGCGTGCGTGTGTGTGTGGGGGGGGTGTACATTGTGGGCTTATGGCCAATGTCAGTTTTGTTCTGCATCTACCTAAATCACAGTTTTGATGAGGTGAAGGTACACATTTGTAAGTGTCATGGGAAAACTTTACGTCAACGTAAAACATACTTGGGAACAATGAAGTATACCAATGTTAAGGTCAAAATGTCATGTAAATATCTTTAAAATGTTTAGTAAGATTTCTGGAATTCCAGGGTCTGACCTGTATCTTGATCTCTGATTTTTATCTTACACTGTCCAGATTCTGATGCAAGGCAAAAATCCCGGGATAGCTTGGAAGTATGCACTTCCCAAGGTCATGAATGGAACTCCACCCGCCGCAAAAAGACAGGCTCATGCCTGGAGTATCGTGCAGTCAGAGTGCTCCGTCTCCTGCGGTGGAGGTACCTGATTTTCTAATCCTGTCTTCTAAGTTTGTCTCTCTTAAAACAGGTTCTTTTGACTCCAGGCCTCTTTAACATAATACGGTTTAAATAAGCCACCCAAGAACTGTCTTTTATAAGAACCATCACCAGGAAAGCAAATATAAGGGCATTAGTTAAGGATTCTCCTATATGTGGTGAGAAATCAGCTCTCACAAAGCTCAAATCAACCACAGCCAAGGCTCCAAAGTTACACATCTAAAACTTATGAGGAAAACCTATAAAATATATTTACTTATTTACAAACAAAAGCATACATTTGTTTATATGCCTGTTTCAACACACACACATACACATATATGTTATATATACTGACTTTTTATAATAAAAAAGTGAAGATTGGGGGAAACTAAACTGTCAGCTGAAAATGAAACACACACACACATACGTAACCTTCCGTTTGAAAGTTATAAAAGCTAGGGTCAAGGCAACTGAGGACACATAGGCCGCAAACTGCAGACAGCTATCTGAAACATGGATATCCCCTCAGGGGTAAGGTCAGAAAAGGCTCTTTGACTAGAGGAATGGATTAAATCTGAGACACACCCCTTGCAACAAAGGAACAACAGCCACCATCTACTCGGTGAGCAGAAGGCAGGCATTTTATTTAGATGTCAACAATGTCACATATTTGGGGGTTAAACAATTGTCACACTTGTCCATTTGGGAGGAAGCATACGTGCCCATAAAGTAGTTCCTGAAACCAAAGCATGAATGTGGGTCTCTAGTTTCCCGTTATTCAGAGCACGTGCCTTTCTACTGCTTCTGTCCCACTGAGCATAATAAGGCTTCTTAGAATCAGAGACAGACAGAGCAAAGATACAGAAAAGGAAGAAATTCTTACATCCGAAAGGCCTTATCTATAGATGCCCATGCAATTCACAAAATATGAAAAAATACTTTTTAAGTATACATATATGAAATAATTAAAAGGTAACACATTTTCTAATACACATTTTAACGGCAATGAACTATAAAGAAGAAAGGTAAACCCCCTAGATTTTTAAATCTGCAATAGACAGTGTTAATATCTTGATCTGTATCATTTTGTTTTTTCCCTAGGCATATGGAAGCCAACATGTTTGACAGACTCAGAGTCATGACATGAGTATCGTTTTCTATTCCTCTTTGCTGAAATCATGTTATAGACATCTGTACACTCTGTTTCACTTCATCATACATTATGAAGTTTTTCATATACCCAGTGCTCTTTGAGAACATTTCCAATAGCTTTCTGGTATTCCAGGGAGAGAATAGTTCCTTGGGAAGAAGAGAGGTTTGATTTGCTTTCCATTTTCAGAGACCAAATCCAGCCAAGAGGAGGATGCGGGGAAGCCAGCTGTGGAATTCTCTCCTCGCCCTGACTTAGCAATGCCTTCACATGATTAACAGACCCTGGTGTGTCCGAAGTCTAGGAGAAAAAGAATTTAGATGAATAAGTCCTATTAAAGTAAATGATTAACTTTTAGGAATGCTGATTTTTTTGTTGTTTGTTTGTTTTTGTTTGAGATAGGGTCACACTCTGTCACCTGGGCTGGAATGCAGTGGCAGAATGATGGCCACTGCTGCCTCAACCTCTGGGGCTCAAGCAATCCTCCTACCTCAACCTCCCAAGTGGCCGGGTTTCGCCATGTTGCCCAGGTTGGTCTCAGACTCCTGGACTCAAGTGATCCGCCTTCCTTGGCCTCCAAAAGTGCTGGAATTCCCAGTGTGAGCCACTGTTCCCGGCCTTGGTGTGGTTTTCCTAAGTGCCTCCTGAAAGCAAACCTGCTTCAACCCAAGGAGCGGGACTGATTGCTAATCATGATAGCAGGAGTGACTTTTTAATCCTTTCTCAGATTATATTTGAAGACAAAGTGCCATGTAGATAAAAAACACAGTTCAAAGGGGAGGCAGCATTCCTATTTGGGGAAGTAAAAAGTATAATTATTCACACATTAAAAAAAAAATGTACGTCCCTGATGAGTGGTTTTGAAATGAACATTGAAAGCAAGGAAGTGGATTGCCACTAAGCAAAAGCAGAGCCCTGGCAGATAGTCTGGAAGGCATATTTAGTGAGTTCTGTTCTTTGCTGGTATGTGTCCTGTACTCTTAAGGATGTATGAGATGCGTCATGGTAAGACGGAATCTTAGGGTTTCCACGTGTAACTCACTAATGGTTTTTCTTTGAACATCATCCATCTGATAATCAAGTTTTTGGGGGGATGTTTCCCTTTATAGTCATTCTGTTTTCAAAAGATTGTATTTATCACTTTATGGTTCCAGTGTCCATGTCAGTCTTGACACCAATAATCTACATGCTAAAATTATTAAAATATGAACTATATTATCTCAGAGAGTGGAATGGAATTCAAATGAGTGGCAGATTTCATCAAAAGGAGGTGCTTTCACAAAATACTTGGATTCCATGTCTGAAATAAAACATCACAATGCTGGTAAATCAGAAGCTAAACTTATAAACCAAACTGAAATGATAATCTGTAATTTTCACTTTGTCCCTTCTAATGTCTTACCAGGTTACATAAATGTAAAGGCCGTTTGCTTGCGAGATCAAAATACTCAAGTCAATTCCTCATTCTGCAATGCAAGAACCAAGCCAGTAACTGAACCCAAAATCTGCAACGCTTTCTCCTGCCCGGCTTAGTAAGTCATGTGGGAATGTCTTTTTGTTGACTTTTGTAGTTGTATGCCTTCATGGTTGTTATAAGATGATAAAAGCCCAGTGTCAATACTGCTAATGGGAAGTGAATCAAAGGTAGATGCAATACTTAAAAAAGTAATAGAAGAAGATGAGCCAGGCGTGGTGGTATGTGTGTGGTCTCAGCTTTTTGGGAGGCTGAAGAGGGAGGATCACTTGAACCCAGGAGTTCCAGGCTACAGTGAGTTAGGATTGTGCCACTTATATATTAGCCTGGGTGTGAGAATGAGACTTTGTCTCTCAAAAAATTTTTAAAAAGAAAGAAGAGGGTTGACGTTTAAATACATGAGTTGAAAAACACAAATTTCCTTTTGGTACTCACTTGACTTTGGCTTGATAGCCAGGAAGAAATTTACTAGTTATTCAAAAGCAAGCTTACTTGGGATATGAAGGCATCTTTTCTGGGGGAGGGGCAGTGGGTATGGGGTTGTAGTCTCACTCTTGTCACCCAGGCTGGAGTGCAGTGGCCTCATCTCAGCTCACTACAACTTCCACCTACTGGGTTCAAGCAATTCTTGTGTCTCAGCCACCTGAATAGTTGGGATTACAGGTGCATGCCATCATACCTAATTTTTGTATTTTCAGTAGACACACGGTTTGGCTATATTGGCCAGGCTAGTCAGGCTGGTCTCAAACTCCTGACCTCAAGTGATCTGTCTGTCTCAGCGTCTCAAAGTTCTGGGATTACAGGCATGAGCCACCGTGCCAGATTGAAGGTGCTTTTTTTTTTTTTTTTTTTTTTTTTTAAAAACCTTTACATAGAGATTCCTCTTCTCTGAACTGAATCAGACAGATACTTAAATAACACAGAATCCTAAATTAGTTCAATCTGTATGTAGTTGTGTTTAACTTTTATGTAAATGGTCCAGGAATTTAAAAATCATAATACTATGCAGACCATGAAACCCCAAATGCGGAATTATACAGTAGCAAGACACCAAATAATAAGGATGAGGTATAGGCCAAGTGGTAAGTCCACCCCTGATGATGGTAGCCTTTGAGAAGCGCAGTGAGGTTGTTCCTGGATTGACTTTAGCCATGCTATTGTTTGAAGACTAATTTTAAGTAATCTTCCCAGTTAAATGGAGTCTCTTTTATGTGCTTTATCTTCTGCCAAATATATTTATATAGAATGGACAGAGTTTCTTCTAAAGCAGTGTTGCATTCACCAGTGCTTTAGATCATCTTAATAAGTAGTGTTTGGTTTGTGGTGATGCAATCATATTACACAATCTTTTTTTTTTTTTGAGACGGAGTTTCGCTCTTGTTACCCAGGCTGGAGTGCAATGGCGCGATCTCGGCTCACCGCAACCTCCGCCTCCTGGGTTCAGGCAATTCTCCTGCCTCAGCCTCCTGAGTAGCTGGGATTACAGGCACGCACCACCATGCCCAGCTCATTTTTTTTGTATTTTTAGTAGAGACGGGGTTTCACCATGTTGACCAGGATGGTCTCGATCTCTTGACCTCGTGATCCACTCGCCTCGGCCTCCCAAAGTGCTGGGATTACAAGCTTGAGCCACCGCACCCGGCCCACAATCTTTATATATATATATAATATATATATATATACACACACACACACACACGCACACAGTTTTTCTCATAAATAATAGTGTATTTGTCATAATCACTTGGGGTTTCAGCTTTTCAACAATCCCGTATGCCCAATTTTCAACCTAGTTTTTCTCTCAGGCTGTGGAAGCAACTGTATCATGAACATTAAGAGGAGATATAAAAGTGGGGGAGAGGGGCTCCATGCATTTTCCTCTTTAGCTAAGAAATACGTCTCTAAGAATTATTCTTTTTTTTTTTTTTTTTTTTTTTTTTTTGAGACGGAGTTTCGCTCTTGTTACCCAGGCTGGAGTGCAATGGCGCGATCTCGGCTCACCGCAACCTCCGCCTCCTGGGTTCAGGCAATTCTCCTGCCTCAGCCTCCTGAGTAGCTGGGATTACAGGCATGCACCAACATGCCCAGCTATTTTTTTTGTATTTTTAGTAGAGACGGGGTTTCACCATGTTGACCAAGATGGTCTCGATCTCTTGACCTTGTGATCCACCCGCCTCGGCCTCCCAAAGTGCTGGGATTACAGGCTTGAGCCACCGCGCCCGGCCAAGAATTATTCTAACAGCTTTTAGATACGAACCCAACAGTGTGTTTGAACCTGTGGAACCTTTGTAGTGTTTACGTACATGTAGGAATAATCAATATGCTTGAATAGCAAGCTGACGTTTTCTGATTTTGAGCCTTCTTCTCATCATGGGCTATTCCAGCCAACCAAAGAAAGGAACCCCATTCACACGTACTTCCATGGAAAGGGAGAGAGCCCAGGTCATGGCCAACTCCTAAAATGTCCTTGAGGACTAACATGTAGGAATGCAGAAGCAAATTTACTGGCTATCTGAAAGCAGAACAGCCCCTCGTAAGGGCCCTGAAGAGTGGCAGGGGTCACACGGCTAAGAGCTTCTGTTCCCTCCCTTTTTTGTCCCCCCTATTATTTATTTTCCAGTATTTTCTATTGGAATATGGGGCTATTCGAGGACCATTCTTATGCAAAGACAATAAGAGAAAGAAGGGTTTAGACTCTTGGAGCTGTATGGATAAAGGAATTTATCTGTGCTAATTCCTTTATTTTCTCATGCAGCAACCGTGTCATAGTGCGGTTACTCTATGCCAGGCCCTGAGCTCTCAACTGTGGGACAGAGATGAATCATGTGAAGTTCCCGCCATCAGTGAACCCAAAATCAAATGGAAGAGATTACTATGTAGAGAAATAATTGACAGACAGTATAATCTGCTAGTGAAGTGTTCCATATTTTTAAAAAGCAGGAAGAGATAAGATGGACAGTGAAGGTATCTGGGCTCTAAGTTAGGGTTGGATGAGGGCGAGGTTAGATGGAGAGTTAGCCTGAGGCTCACAGGTATGTTACGGAGAGTCTATTTGGGCCAGGCACAGTGGCTGACGCCTGTAATCCCAACACATTGGGAGGTTGAGACGGGCCAATCACTTGAGGTCAGGAGTTTGAAACCAGCCTGGCCAACATGGTAAAACCCCATCTCTACAAAAAAAATAAGAAGAAGCCAGGTGTAGTGGCAGGTGTCTATAGTCCCCGCTACTTGGGAGGCTGAAATGAGAATCGCTGGAACCAGGAAGCAAAAGTGGCAGTAGGTCACGATGACGCCACTGCAGTCCAGCATGGGCAACAGAGCAAGAAAAAAAATGTAAAAATGTATTTGTTACGTCCTTGTTAGCACTGTTACAGACTCATCATAGTTGTCACAAAAAGGAAAGACACTTGAATTTGGTAGATAAAAATGCCATTTTCTATGCCAGTGTTGAAGCTAATAATTTTATTTATATATAATGTGTTATATATATGATTATATATAATGTTTTCTTTACGTCTTAGGATACAAATAATTGTACAAATAGGAGGATTCCATTTGATATCCTTAATTGAATAGGATTGCAGGGATTCCGACAATGGTTTTAGGACCCATATAATTCTAGTACTCATGCTCAATTCTCTGGACTTAATTTCACACATCTGGCCTCTGTGGGAAACTAGAAAAAAACAATAGCAAAAAATACATGTGGTCTTATTGATGTCTCGTTACTTAAAATGATACTTGGAATCTTTGTAATCCGAGATCAGTTTTAGACTTTGCGGCTGTGACGGAAAAGGGGTAACAGTCATCTGTGGTGCATCTTTTTAATGCTACGTCTTTAAATCATAGAACTTCAATTAATCAAAAGTAGTTATTGAAGAGGTTAATAGTTTCCATTGATAACCGTATATACCAAGTCTCAGACAGCTATGAAAAAAAACTGGTCTGGCCTGGCGCAGTGCCTCACTCCTGTAATCCCAACATGTTGGGAGGCCAAGGTGGGTGGATCACCTGAGGTCAGGAGTTCGAGACCAGCTTGGCCACTATGGTGAAACCCCATCTCTATTTAGAAATGCAAAAATAGTCAAATCAACAGGAAGTTAAAAACAGAAAAAAAAAAAATAGCCGGGCATGGCGGTGTGCACGCCCGTAGTCCCAGCTACTTGGGCGGCAGAAGCAGGAGAATCACTTAAACCTGGGAGGTAGAGGTTGCAGGGACCCAAGATTGAGTCATTGCGCTCCAGCCTGGGTGACAGAGCAAGACTGCATCTGAAAAAAAAAAGAAAAGAAAAAGAAAAACTGGCAAATTTTAAAGAATAAAAGGGTAGGTATCTAACTCCTCAGTAAATTTAGGTGTAATCAGAAAAGAAATTTGGGGAAGTGCCCACTTAAAAATATCCCTGTGAGACCTTCTCTAAATGTACCCCTCTTCCATTAGCCTCATCATTGTATTTTGTGTTGACTTCCACTGCAGCGCTTACCAGAAAATACTGTCTTTATTTGTTCACATACCCATCTCTCTACTGTGTTACAGGCTCCTTGATTCTGCTGCGATAATTTTTCCAATCCTAATGCTTAGGAGGGTCCCTGACGCATAGTTAAAATCCCAACAAATTTGACTCAAGGAATTGTGCAGATTTTTAAGTGATATGGATTTGTTCCCATGCAGAGGCAGGAATGTATTTTGCTGTGGAACTGTGGGATGATTAAATGTGGTTCCGAATATCTGGATCACATTAGTGTAAGCCTCTGCATCCATCAAAGAACAATGCGTACAAATTATCCTTATTGGTTCTGAAATTGATCTAAGGCTTCCATAGGTTCACAGTAACTGCTTTGCAAGTTGTTATACAAAGTTTGGCTTCATTGGAAATACTTGTTTTGCTCTGAAAGCTGGATGCCAGGTGAATGGAGTACATGCAGCAAGTCCTGTGCTACAGGCCAGCAGAGCCGAAAGATCCAGTGTGTGCAAAAGAAGCCCTTCCAAAAGGAGGAAGCAGTGTTGCATTCTCTCTGTCCAGTGAGCACACCCACTCAGGTCCAAGCCTGCAACAGCCACGCCTGCCCTCCAGAATGGAGCCTTGGACCCTGGTCTCAGGTAACAGGAAATAACTTGGAGTTGTTAGTGTCATTCCCCTGGAAGGCAAAAGTACAGGTGTCTTTGCTCTCCAAGGGGCTGTGGGCCGTTTACGTCATGGGAATCAGCATTTTAATTAATGTTCTTTAGGTAATCTTAGGAAATCTGAAGTTTCAGCACCTCTATCCCAGAGCTTCGAATCCTCCTTATAAATTAGAGTATGGGGGCCATTTAGGGCAGAGTTGTGAGCACAGCTAGAAAGGATTCTGGTGTCAGAAGCTTGGCATAGAGACCTGGCTACTGAATTCTCCAAAGCAAATGGAAAACACACACAGAGTGAAGCATAGTAGAGAGACTTAACTCTTACTTCAATGGGAAAGAGGCCAAGTTAGAAGAATACAGAGAAAAGCAGGGCATACAGTTGGCTATGTTGACAAATTCTCAGAGAAAACCATAAAATTTTAAAGTTAGAAGAGTCAGAGAACTATCTGTCATTCACAACTCAGCATTCCATCTAAAGCAAAGGTTCTCAACTGTGAGCGAGTTTGCCTACCGGGGGCCATTTGTGATTGTCACAGCCTGGGGGGCGATGAGTGCTACTGGCATCCAGTGGGTAGAGGTGAATGGCTTACAGAGCTCCTCACCACAAAGAACTGTCTGAGCCAAGATGTCAGTGGTGTTGAAGGGAAGAAATCCCGCCCTATACCCTGCCTTGTATGTGATAGCACAAATGCTGCTAAATCCTGGCTGGCAAACCAATTTTAGTAAAGAATGAAAAAAGGGCAAGAGTTTGACCAATGGAACTATGAAGCCAGGTAGCAGCCACTGATGACAGTTACGCTGTGTTTTCCTTTACAGTATATTAGATCCTAGAGGGGGCTGCTTTCTGATTAATTTCAGCAATATACTATCATGTCTCCTACCAGGGGTTGGAGGAAGGCTTTTTTTTTTTTAAAAAAAGTTAGGACTTACCTGTTTGCACAGGGGTTCCCAGGCCATGAACAAGTGCCTGTTTGTTGCCTGTAAGGAACTGCGCCGCCCACCAGTGGGCAGGTGAGCGCTGCAGCCTCAGCTCTGCCTTCTGTCACATCAGTGGCAGCATTAGATTCTCAGAGGAGCTTGAACCCTCTTGTGAACCGTACAGGTGAGGGCTCTGGGAGGCGTGCTCCTTGTGAGAATCTAATGCCTGATGATCTGAGGTGGAACAGTTTTATCCCAGAAGCACCACCTCGCCCTGCCCATCCGTGGAAATACAGTGTTCTGTAAAAGCCGCCCCTCGTACCAAAATAATCGGGGACCGCTGTGTTAGGGGAATAAAGGGTCAGGAGGGAGAAAGAATATTACTAAGCTTGTTTAGGGGGTTCTTTCAAATGAGAGAATGTATCCATTTATAGCAGAGGGTAACTCTAAATAGAATATGGTGTTGAGTCTAGTTTTTCCAGTTAGGAATATAATTTACAAAAAGAATTCAAATAATTGTTTTAGGCAAATATATATGGTGGGTATGGATAAAGGGAAATTAAAATGGGGCTGGTTAAGTAGACATCATAAAAAGAGCTTTAGTTCAATGGAGTTTACCCCACATTTCACATAGTGAGTATAGTTTCTCTTTTTTTTAAAGTGGCAACTGAAACCTAATGGGAATGCAAATGGAACTTTGATTTTTTTCTTCTCAAGTGTTCCAAGACCTGCGGACGAGGAGTGAGGAAGCGTGAACTCCTGTGCAAGGGCCCTGCCTCCGAGACCCTCCCCGAGAGCCGGTGTACCAGCCTCCCCAGACCCGAGCTGCAGGAGGGCTGCGTGCTCGGACGATGCCCCAAGAACAACCGGCTACAGTGGGTCGCTTCTTCATGGAGTGAGGTATGGTTTAGAAGTCACTGCTGGAGGTTTTGAGATGCTCACCTCACCTGCTAGCAGCTAGGCTCACAAAACTCCTTCCTGGTGCACATATTTATACCCAATGCCTGCTAATTGTCATTTCTGCTCTCCTGAGTGCTTGACCCAACATTGCTAACTCGCTACATTGATCAGGCTTGTGCCTGGCTGTGGGGGCGCAAGACTTCATAAAGCACACACACAGAAATATGGATAAGGTATGCTAAGTGCCTTGATAAAGTCTTCTTTTGTGGGGAGCTCAAGGTTGACCCAAGCCAGACTTCAGGAAGAACTGTTGTCAGAAGATTATTTCTGAGACAGGGTCTTGCCCTGTTGCCCTAGAGTTCAGTGGCACAATCTCAGCTCACTGCAGCCTCCACCTCCCTGACTTCAGGTGATCTCCTACCTCGGACTAGAGGCATGTACCACTATACTTGGCTAATTTTTGTAGTTTTTGTAGAGATGTGGTTTCACCATGTTGCCCAGGCTGTTCTCAAACATCTGGGCTCAAGTGATCTGCCTGCCTCAGGCTCCCAAACTGGCATGATTACAGGCCTGAGCCACTGCACCCAGCCTAAAAGGCTATTTTTAACCCTCATCATGTTAGGTCCTCTGTGCGAGAGGTTGGGTGAACATGAAGGGCAATTATTTGCTGTACAGTGGTTCCTCCCATTGACCTCTAAATCTTTTTATCTCGCCCTTACCCTCCTCGACTCAGATTCCCAACACCTCTCCGGCCTTAGGTAGACCTGGAGGTCTGTAACCCTCAACCTGGAAATCCTTCTGTCCATCTTGGACTCTATCTCACACCCATGTGGCATCTCAGAGTCCCTTTTTGTTTTATGATGCTCATGATCTCTGTGATTTTAGGAAAGGCACTTGAGTTCTCTGGTTTCCTTAGTATAGCATGAGGTACTTGGCTGCTGCGTCTTTAAGATCACTGAGTGACTGTGGTTGGCCTTATGTCATCCCATCCCTCTCATTTCATGCGGATGGTGCAATCTTATGTCAAAGTACATCTGCTCAGAAGCTTTGACTATGGGTCTCTGCACTTTTCCACATCCTGTCTTGGCTCTAGTGTTCTGCGTCCTGTGGTTTGGGTGTGAGGAAGAGGGAGATGAAGTGCAGCGAGAAGGGCTTCCAGGGAAAGCTGATCACGTTCCCAGAGCGAAGATGCCGTAATATCAAGAAACCAGCCCTGGACTTGGAAGAGACCTGCCACCGAAGGGCTTGTCCAGCCCATCCAGTGTACAACGCGGTAGCTGGATGGTATTCATCACCATGGCAGCAGGTGGGTCCAGGCAGATTTAGGAGGTTTCTATGCAAATGAGATGTGAGAAAATGAGGCATGCAGCAAACAGTTGCTCTTGGCTCAGGTTTTGAAGGTAGAATGGGTTTCGTTCTTTGGCCAACTCTGCTCCTGTGGCCCTGGGCAGTCTGTAAACCTCAGTTTTCATTTCTAGAAAATTAATATCTGGCAGAGTTGATTTGTTGTCATTCATCAGAAAATGTATGTAAAACACTTAGCCCCAGGCCAGTCATACCCTGCTGATGTTGGTCATTGCTGCTATTGAAACTACCTCTCCAGTGTTTGTTTTAGAAATGCTGCTCACAGCCTTTACTCACTGGGTTCCTACATCATGTTTCTGAATAATGCAAGAGCTAATATTTGTCAAGGTATTAACTATGCATGGTGCTAAGTACTTTATATGCGTTTCCTGTTCCGGGGTAGTATGGTCCTTGAAGCTCAGAGTGTCAGGCAATTCAGCCAACGACACTCAGCTTTTAAACTTACCAGATGCTAGAGGCACCCTTCTTTTCAGAAGACTTGGGTGAAACTTTGGCTAGGACTGGTATGTGATGCTAAGTCCGAGACAGCATTATGTCCTCAGGAACCCAAAGCTGTGTTCTGGTCCTTCCAGCATTCCAACCAACAGATGTTGTCACACAGCTCTTCAGAGGACTCTGGTGCTGCCCACCTCACCATTAATGACAGGGGCCAGGTAAAGGTATATATACTGTGTACTCAGGAGGATCTGGAAACCAAGACATGGATGAGAGGAAAGAAAATTAGCATGATTGTCTCTGGGCGGGCACTGTGGTAGCTGTTACACATACTCCTATGGATTGTTTTTTTAATTGACTCTAAGAAGACAATTTAGATCAGGCGTCCCCAAACTACGGCCTGCAGGCTGCATGTGGCCCTCTGAGGCCATTGATCCGGCCCCCCGCCGCACTTCAGGAAGGGGCACCTCTTTCATTGGTGGTCAGTGAGAGGAGCACAGTATGTGGCGGCCCTCCAACGGTCTGAGGGACAGTGAAGTGGCCCCCTGGGTAAAAAGTTTGGGGACGCCTGATTTAGATTAAGACGTCAGCAAACAGCTGCCAGCAGGCCAAATCTGCTCCCCCAGTATCTCCTGTGTTTTGTAAATAAAGTTTAACTGGAAGGTAGCCATGTTCATCCACTTACATATTGACCGCAGCTACTTCAGTGCTACAAAGGCAATGAGGAGTACTTGTGACAGAGGCCACACGCCCATACAGCCGGAAATATTTACTATCTTGCCGTTTGTAAAGTTTTTCTATAAACTCATGGTATAGATAATTTGGTAATAAGACTTGCCCTCAAGGAACTCATGTTTTAATTGAGGAGCAGAAACTATACTCAATTACAGTGTGTATGTAGATTTTTAAAAAATGCAGTGAATTGTTAAGTCCCTTTACAGGGCTACATTTTTTTCCTGGTTATTCTTTTGTTATTAATTTTTCAAATGTCAATTACTTGTCTAGTTGTTAAAATTTTAATTGCACAGTGAAATCGCTGACTTCTAAGAAGCGCAAACTTGGCCAGACGCGGTGGCTCACACCTGAAATCCCAGCACTTTGGGAGGCCGAGGCAGGCAGATCACAAGGTCAAGAGATCTAGACCCTCCTGACCCACATGGTGAAACCCTGTCTCTACTAGAAGTAAAAAAATTAGCCGGGCGTGGTGGTGCATGCCTATAGTCTCAACTACTCAGGAGGCTGAGACAGCAGAATCGCTTGAACCTGGGGCGTGGAGGTTGCAGTGAGCCGAGATTGTGCTGCTGCACTCCAGCCTGGCAACACAGCCAGACTCCATCTCAAAATAAAACAAGTACCAACTCAGAGTTGGGCTGGGCACCGAGCTAATTCCAGAGCTTTCTTTCCTAGTTTTGAACTATCTCCTTCACTACTGCACAGATTGTCTGGAATTCTTTAAATGCTCTGATTAACTCCCTAGATGTGTCTGTATTTGTTTCTACATTCTTAGAGAAGCTTCTGTATTTCTGGAGCTTCTCTTCTTTATGAGTCACTTAAGCGGGAGACACACACTCTTGGGCTAGATAAATAGTGTTTGCTTAAAACCCTTCTAATCAGATCAAAGGGCTCTCACTTGTTAGGATAGATGCTATGGACTCTAAGCCCATGTGCCTGGCTCCAGCCAATCTGTTTCATCAGCAGGCGTCTTGGTAATGTCACGAAGCATGGGAATTCCTTCTATTTGATGTCACTGACCTCAGCAGAGTGTTTGACTTCTTCCTCTTCTCTTTCCTGCAGTGCACAGTCACCTGCGGGGGAGGGGTCCAAACCCGATCTGTCCAATGTGTTCAGCAAGGCCGGCCTTCCTCAAGCTGTCTGCTCCATCAGAAACCTCCGGTGCTACGAGCCTGTAATACCAACTTCTGTCCAGCTCCTGCAAAGACAGGTAAAAGGCGCCAGGCTCCAGTCAACTTGACGAGTCTCTAGATAATTTTTTCAAAGCCTACTTTTGTTGGTTGTGCAGCCTGTGGCATTTGTACAACTCTAGGGTGAGCCATTCGCCCACAGCCTGTGACAGTGCTCCCTGGAATTGTATAAGGCACCACTCTGGGGACGTTCCTGTCTGCATGATGTTTTTGAGACAGAGTCTTGCTCTGGCACCAGATGGGAGTAGACGGCTCACTGTAACCTCCCCTTACCTGGTTCAAGTGATTGCCCTGCCTCCCGGGTAGCTGGGATTATAGGCGTGCACTACCACACCTGGCTAATTTCTGTATTTTCAGTTGGCCAGGCTGGTCTCAAACTCCTGACCTCAAGTGATCCACCCACCTTTGCCTCCCAAAGTGCTGGGATTACAGGGATGAGCCACATGCCCAGCCTGTCCCAATGATCTTGTTTGCATGGGTCAGAAGGGAATAATTTCTGTGATAACACTCTTGAGCCGTTATTACTTTGAAAATGGGAACATAAAAGTGAACAGGAATATTCTTCAAGTGAAATGAATACTGATAGGAAACTGAAAAGTCTGACAAATTGTACCATTCTTCACTGGTCTAACTTACTTTAAAGTAGTCTGACCAATGCCAGGGAATATTTTTCAGCGTCATCTGCTTTCCTCGTGCTAAAGAATCATTTTCTAGCATGCAAGTGCTGGGTTTTCTTTTTTATCCAATCACAGTCTTTCTAAGACTGTCCAATCTCTTAGCCTACTTTTTGTAACTTTTGGCAAATCAGATTCAAGACTCTTACTTACTGGATTTTCTATCTTGTCGCTCACCTACTTCTTTTTTTTAGGTAGGGTCTCACTCTGTCACCCAGACTGGAGTGCAGTGGCATAATCACTGCAAAAACCCCAGCTCACTGCAAAAAATGCTGGGGTTACAGGCATGAGCCACCACACCCAGCCATGCTTATCTACTTCTTATTAGTTTTAGCTCTGTGCTCAGGCATCAATTTTCTATGCTCTGTGCTCTTTTCTTATATTATCTGAAACCTAAACAAGACCAAAAAACTCCAGCTCTTGTAGCAGTTACTGAGAACCAGTTCATCCTAGTCCATGCTGGGGTACTACATAGAGAGGAAATGAGCAGTAGGTCATGGTTTTCCCAGACTCTGACCTCCTTTCTTCACTATCAGGGATTTCTCATTTCTACCCTTTAGTTAGATTGCCAAAGATGAAGGCCACAGGCATCCCTAAGGACAATGGCCAATCAGGAAGTTGCCCACCAGTATCTCCTGGGCAGGATGGGGAGATGAGGAGAGTCAACATACATATATGGCCTAAGACGACAGGGAGGCCATTTGTCTTGTGTGTTCACCCTGCACCTAATAGCACACTGGACATCCAGTAGGTGCTCAATACATCTTACATGAGTAAATGAGTATATGGCTAAAGGAAATATCTTGTGCTGTGAGGTCCTGGATGTCATTCAAAGCAAAATCACTAAGCACCTGCTGTATACCTCTAGCAGTCTTCTACAGATAAAAGAATAAAGCTGGGTCCTGTTCTTAAAGCTACAACAGAAAATGTACGTGGTGGAGTATTCACAATGTTACAGTGATGGTCAGTTCTCCTTAAGTTGCTGGAATGAGGGGAGTCCTAGGGTGCAGATGAGAAAAGGCTTATTAAAAGAGGAGCTTGCCTGAGTGCAGTGGCTCATGACTCTAATCACCACACTTTGGGAGGCTGAGGCAGGAGAATCACTTGAACCTGGGAGGTGGAGTTTGCAGTGAGCCATTGCTCTGCTGTACTCCAGCCTGGGTGACAGGGTAAGACCCTGTCAAGAAAGAAAAGAGGAGCTTCCCTCTGTATCTCTTAACTGCGTCCAGTCCCTTTTGGAAGAATAAAAGATACAGCAAGCCCAAGTGTATGTTCTGGGCCAAAAATGTGGGCTACAGTTTACTAAGTGGAGGATTTACTCCCATTCCCATTCCAAGTATAGGGATGACGGCATGCCTAAATTACTACCCGCTTGGCAGAGTGACCGCTATGTAAGTCATTTGAGTGTATTTTCTGGCTTTGAGTTTTCAGAAAACATCAGTGAGCAGTGAGGATGCCCATGGTGACACAGTGAAGAACATTCCATTCCTTGACTCTTCTCTGAGACCCCTATTATGGGCCAAGCACTCTGGTAGGCACTGTGAGGGTTTCCTCCCCTCATGGAGCTTATACTTGGGTAGAAGTTTCTACCCATTATAGTCACTAAAACTGGACGCTGGAGAAGACCATTCTGCCCATGGTGGCATCATCCTGTCTTCCAGTGTCACCAAACAGCTTTGCTGTCCCCCAGACTCCTGCCCATACTGACTGACTGCCAGTCTAGAGGCATTCGTTATATCCCATCATGAGGGTGTGATGCCTTATCTGGGTGTCTTGGTTGGACCTGGGGAGACCATCCTTACAATGCACTGTAGAGATTCTAGGTAAAATTCTCTTCCGGGAAAGACAGAAGGCCGTAAAGCAGTGATACCACCCAGAGACTTGTGTCGCACTGCGTTGAAACTGGTTGGTTACGTGTCTGGAAGCTGCCTGGGCTGCACACTAGTCATACTAAATTGAGGATGACCAGGCACTCAGTACTAATTCAATACTAATAAGCTGCTCCTCACGGAATCCCACATCTTCAGATGGGGTCAGGCAGCATTGCATGGCGGAAGGAGCAGGAACGGTAAAATCACAAAAATAGAGTTGAATCCACACTAACTTGACACGTAATTGCTACGGAGCTTTGGGCAAGTTTTAAACTTTCTGAGCATTCATAAAACCGGGAAGTAATGCTTACTTTGAAAGATTGTCGTATTTAAAGAAGGTGATTCAGTTTTTACCATATTTCTTTAGTGCTTACTATGAACCGGACACTATTCTGGTGTCTGATTACAAAAACAGTAACCAGCTAAACAGGCACAGATCCCACCTTCTGATAAGCTTGCTTCTAAATGGAAACAGACAACCAGTAAACACACAGTGTGGCAAAGTCAAGTCGCAGGGGTGAGAAGATAGGAAATCAAGTTTAGGTTGTAATGATCAGGCAAGGCCAGGCCACTTGATGACTGAGCACTTGAACAGAGACCTCAGAAAAGGTGAGGCACACAGGGATCTAGAAGGAGTGTTCCTGGCAGAGAGACAGCAGAGAGGCAGGAATTTACACATCTCATTCAGGAACACCGCAGTGCCTGCAACACTTGGAGTACAAGAGACGAGGTGCAGAGTGGTTAAGCAATACCTGAGCAGTGGTACTGCAGGACTTCAGGTTTAACTCTGAGTACAGTGGAAGCCGTTGAGCAGACGCTATGGGATCTAGCTTTAGGAAGATCACTAGCAGTTAAGTTGAAAACGGTGCAGGTTGCCTGGAGTAGAACAAGGACTTGTCAACTCTTTGTCAGTAAGCAGATGGAGGAGGCTCCCCTCGAGCAGTGGCAGTTCTGAAGAGGCTGGATGCTGGGTGTGTTTCAAAGATTGAGCCAAAGAGTATCTGCTGATTGCAGGGAGAATGTGAAGCAAAGAAAGGATTCCAAGGTCCTCTTCAATAAAGTAAAGCAAATACCTGACTCACAGTAGACGCTTAAACAACCAGCTGTTAGTAATTATTATAATCAAAAAAGCACTTACACGGATAGCGTAACAACAACGTCTCACTGCTGCTTCCTGGCTTACATGAAGGGGGTGTGTCAAAAGACATTTTAGGCAGAAGGATCAAGCCTGCAAGAACCAACTCGAGGCATTTCCGAATTATGTGTAGTCTAGGCTCTAAATAATTTTTAAGTCAAAACTATGCCTTAAGAATACAGCAAAATGGGCCAGGGGTGGTGGCTCACATCTGTAATCCCAGCTCCTCAGGAGGCTCAGGCAGGAGAATCGCTCGAACGCATGAGGTGGAGGTTGCAGTGCGCTGAGATGGCGCCATTGCACTGCAGCCTGGGCAACAAGAGTGAAACTCCATCTCGGACTGGGCCCTTGCTCCTAAAACATGCCGTTATGCTTACATACACGTTTGCATGCATGTTTCCATATCCTGAGGCTCATCTAAGTCCGAATTCCTGATGTATAGTGAAATGATCACATCTGTCATGTTCATTGAGCCACCAAAGAAATTAGAAAGGACTGGTGTTGACATAATTTACTTGCAAGCTGGCTGAGATTGACTTAAACCTACACAGAATGTTGGCCACCCAGCTTTTTAAGTTAATCTCAGCCCGTTTGCATACAAATCCAGGTGAATTGACTCCCAATGTATTAGGCTCTTTGCTCCTGAAATTACAGTTCATGGACCGGCAGCACCAACCTCCCCTCATGCCCATCCCCCCGACAGCCCTTCTGAATCAGAACCAGTGGTTTAACAAAATCCCTAGGAGATTCCTGATGCACTGTATTTCCCTGGACACACAATTCAGTGGTGGCTCCCAGGCTGTCTAGGGAGGATCAGACATTGATCTTGGATTAGATATGCCTCTCTTTTTTTGAGATGGAATCTCGCTCTGTTGTCCAGGCTGGAGTGCAGTGGCACGACCTGGGCTCACTGCTACCTCCACCTCCTGGGTCCAAGCCATTCTCCTGCCTCAGCTTCCCGCGTAGCTGGGACTACAGGCACACGTCTGGCTACTTTTTTGTATTTTAGCATAGATGGGGTTTCACCGTGTTGCCCAGACTGGTCCTGAACTCCTGAGCTCAGGCAATCCACCCATCTCGGCCTCCCAAAGTGCTGGGATTACAGGCATGAGCTATCACACCAGGCCTACATAAGATTTTTTAAGAAAGAAAAATCATTTAATTTTGCTAATGGTCACAGCCCTTTCTTGGCATCTAAATCCTGCCCCATCTCACTCCCCTACCAAAGTCCCAGTGTGTAAATGTGTAATGGGAAGAATCACAAAGAGTCAAAAGGGAGGTGGGCCCAAGGTCTTTGTTCGGTAGCCCCTCAACTTAACAAAAAGAAT